TGCCCGCAGGGAATGGCAATGCTTTGTGAAACCATAGAGGAATGCTGGGATCATGATGCGGAAGCCAGGTTGTCAGCAGGCTGTGTAGAAGAACGTATTATTCAGATGCAAAAACTAACTAACATTATAACAACAGAGGATATTGTGACTGTGGTCACGATGGTGACAAATGTTGACTTTCCTCCCAAAGAATCCAGTCTATGATAGATAGTTGCACTGGTCACAGAACTGACCACCGGACTCTTCACTGGAGCTGCTAAAGCTAAGGGGACTGCTCGCGTCATTACTGTTTGCTGCGTGAGAAGAATGGTAAGTCTCTCTGGAACAGCATTAAGAGGTGTTTTTCCTTTATTTTCCCCTTCCTCCTCCCAAACACGGATCCCTGAGACTTTCTGCATTCCCTGTGTACACCTGAAGGACACGTGACTGAGAAACGGTGACATGCGGTTAAGGAACTTACATGAAGAATACAGACCTGTTCTGACTAATCAAGCATTTTAAAAACTGACGCCCGATTTCTTAATACCTGTCAGAAGAGACTAATTCCTTAAATGAACTACTGTTATTTTTTTTAAATCAAACATTTCATTTCAGATTTAAAAAGAAAAAAAAGGGTAACTTGTTTTTATTGCATTTGCCGTTGTTTATAAAAATGACTATTGTAATGCGACTATGACACAGCTTGTGAATGTTTAGTGTGCTGCTGTTCTGTGTACATAAACAAAAGTAATCAAGTGGGTTATAGCAAAGAGGCTTCCAAGTATTACTTAACCTCCCTCAACAAGGTATACCTCAGTTCCACCTCTGCTAAATTATGAGATTGACAACACTAACAAAATTTGAATAAATCGATCCGTGTTTTGTAAATGATGTATTGCAAATTCACTGTGTTATTTAAAAAGGGTAAGCTATGCTTCGTGCCGATAGTAAATGGCCATTCCTAAAGCAGTGTTTTAGCCTTTCCTTGTACTAGCTTGTTGTGTATAAAAAAAGAAAGTGCTGTTTATTGAAACTAAATTTTCCTTCCTCTTTTAGTTTAAAGCTTTTCTCTTACCTCCGCTTCCCAGAGTATCTCATGCATTTATTTAACTGAATACTATTTAGGTTTGCTGTGTCTGAGGAATATTTGAAAACTTAAGCATGACTTTTTTAATTTTCTGTGAGCTGTGACACTGGAAAGCTCTGAATTCTTGTTCTTTTTTTAAAAAAGTATTTTTCCTATTTATGTTTGTGACAAGGTCTGCATAGCGTGTTTTCTGTTTCACTAAACAGTATGCAGTGGGTTCTGTATCGCTGTTTCAGGATCACCTCAGGAAGCTCAGTTACCCCAAATTCTTTACTCCTCTGCTTTGAGATTTACTTAACACTTGGTGCCATGTTATCAGTGAGCCTCAATGTCGTTTGCAGGTGCAGGTCTGTCCTGGAGTCACGCGAAAAATGCTAGCCACAGGTTTCAGATTATGAATGCTTACAAATTTCAGGGATAATTTAGCTATAACTTAAAATATACAGTGACTATTTAGAGGTAACGAATACCAGTGTCCATAGCATAGACTCCCAAAAGCTGAGGAAAACCCAGTGAAATTGCTTTTACAATTCTTTCTTTTTGAGTTTAGGAAGTTGGGCCTTATTTAAATTGCAAAGCGACTCGTAGGTTGATAGGTGCCAAAGCGCTTCTCAGAAGTTCTGTTTGACTCCACTTATTTGATCCCTTACACAAACTTCCAAGTAAAATAAGCTTTATAAATCTCTAGAGTGCAGAACCGACAAGAGCTGATAGCATGCTGTGTGCTCCCTCAGTGTTTTGTTTTTACATCGTGTGTTCAGCGTCTTTTGAAAGAAGCTGCTAATGCTACAGCGAGGAGCTCACTGGGAATGCTGTGTGAAAAGCTGATCCACAGGTACTCTGTTTTACAAGTACACAAACTGACCTTCTAGGAACAGTAAGAAACCTTATGGGTGAACAGGACCTAAGGTAGTGTTGGCTGGTGGCAGGGAGGGGAGAAGGGTGCAGCAGTGCCACCTGCCTGTGTGTGCAGTGCTGCCTGCCTGGCCTGTGCTGTCCTGCAGCAGGGAAAACGTGCTCTGATGCAACTTGGTGGTTCTCGGCTTGGCTATAGAAAGAAAGAAACCTAGTTTGTGGCCACTTCTTAGATTGATGCTTTCCTTTAGCTTCCATTTTTAATCCAGGGATGTTACTTTATGCACACAGTAGGAGGTGAACGTAGCTGCTGAGTTCTGAACAAGTAAGAACCCATTCATACATTGCTGGTGCTCCTAATGAGTTGTAACCCGTTCAGTAGCAAAACTGGAGTCAATGCAGATTGTTTAATAATGTGTTACTCAAGATCCAGTGGAAAAATCGGTTGGGTATAAAACCTGCATCATTGTGATGTCACCCCTCAAACTTCAGCATCTGCAGGTGCCTGCAGCAGACATGGTGGGGACTGGTGTGTGCTCCCTCATGTGGCAAACAGGGCAGCAGGAGAACTGAGACAACTTGTCTTTGCATTTTAAAGCTGCCTTTGGTTCTCCCTAGTTAAATGCTTTGCTGCTCCCAGGTTCCTGGGTTTTAACAGTGTCAGTGTGAAAAGGGTGTTCATAGTGTAAGTAAGTGCTTTTAACATGATTGGTAAAAATATTCCATGTCCCCAGAGCTGCTGTGTGCAGCTGCTCACACAGGCGCCCACGGCACTGTGAAGGTGTAGAGAGCAGCAGGGTTGGAGTGTCTGCTGTGATATACCAGCAGGTGGTGGCCATTGTCCCTTGAGGTCCTGTGGCCATGAGCTCCTGAGAGTCACCAGGTCCTGTGGCTGGTGAGGAGCAGCTTGTCCCTTGTGCATAGCATTAAGCCACATCTCCTGAAACCTCGACCCAGACCTGCTGCCATCCTGGCCTACGCAGAAGCTTCAACCCTACACAACTCCACACGTAACGTTACAGGGCAAGATGCTTCTGTACTGTACCCTGCATGAATTTGTACTATAGTGTTTCAGAGCAGAGCCCATTCCCCAGTTGCTGTTGAAGTAGAGCTATTGCTGTTGCTGGTATTCCAAACTACAACTTGAGGACTGGAATCCACCACTGTGCTCCTGCCAGTTGAGATTTTAGAAGGTTGGTGTGGTTTTCAAATGCCAGCGTTGGGTGCGCTAACACTAAATTGTGACCAGTCACTAGCCTTCTCCTGGTCCGACTGGCATTTGACAGGACAGCCAGGGTTGCTAGTTTGCTCTTTCTCCAGCTTCTCTTTAACCTTTTTTTTGATGGATTTCCTTTCATTAGGAACATTTGGTACAAAGTGCAGAAAGCTGTAATGTATGTTCCTGGGCAAAATGATTGACGTAGCATCCTTGATGGAACATCATTTACCTCAGATACTCAACCAGCAGTACTTCTTTTGGGTTTGTTTTTTTGTTTTGTTTTGTTTTCCCTTTTATTTTTTAATGCCGTTTCAGTCCATATACTATTCGTTACCTCTCAAGATTTTGGTAAGCAATTATTTTAACTTTACTCTTTGTATTTGTCAGTGTTTTGGGCACAGGTTGTTGTACTACTGTCAAAAGGTACTTGCTGTTTTTCTGCGAGTACTAAAAACAAACCAACCCCCCTTGCCCCTCAATAAAGTGATTGTTAAATATTGTACAAATAAAAATGTATACTCTTTCTCCCCCACTCCCCCAAAAAGTTAAAATAAAAATGTGACTACTCTGACGTGCATATGCCTTTTCTCATATTGTGACACAGGGAGGACAGAGTTCTTTTTGTGGCCCAAAGAGAGTGGAAAAATCCCGCAGTTAAAATGGGGCAGGGAAGTGAAGGCACAATCCACATCACGTCTGGCCTTGGAGATGGAGAACCCACCCTCTCTCAGGAGGGGGCACTTTCCAGCTCAGGGGTTTTAACCAGCAGTGCAGCGCACACGGCAGGACCCAGTGTCCGAGGTGAGCACCAGGGTGCACTCCTTCCTGCAGCAGGCAGCCATGCAAAGGCTCCAGTGATGCTCCTGTAACTCCACAGTCCCTTCTACCATTCCTGTCCCAGGGCCCTGCCACCACCCTTCCCTTCTCCCTGGGCAGCAGGGCAGCCAACTGCTGCAGAACTGCCCCTGTAGCCTCCTGCCCCTAAAAGGGTGGGGCTCCCTCCCAAGCCTTGAAGCCAGTCCCCATTATCCCTTCTGAACATGTTCACTTTCACCAACCAGCCTTTTCCAAACCTGTGTGTACAAGGGACTCGGGCTGTTGAGTGAGTTGCTCTGCCAGGGGACGTTGGCATTCCCATACTACACCTGCAGGTGTCTGTTTCCCACCACAGGGTGGGGAAAATCCTCAGCAGTGTCCCATCCCTAAACACAGCAGCAGGACCCCAGGTGTGAGCAGAGGCAGGGCCAACCAATGGCAGCAGCTCTGCCCCCTCTGCAGCTGTACGTGAGGCACCTGTTGGGTTTGTCGCTAGCCCCACAGCCAAGTGCTTCCATAAAAGTAACTCTTAACACTGGCATCACCTTTTCCCACCTCTGCTTCTCTACTCGGCAAGTAGCCATACCCCCCCTTTGTCCCCATTTTAGAGGTGCACCTTGAATTGCATGAGCCACCCCATGCTGTGAGGAGGTAGATGTTGGCTCAACACCCACTTTTCTGCCTGAGTAAGTACTTCTGAACAACATCTTGTGGCAACGTTTTTATTTACAGTTTGTGCTATCCTTGCAGCAAGGCTTTTCATGACATGTGGTAAATCTTACCTGGCAGGAAGCGTACTTCTAACAGGTATCACTGAAGTACATATGCAGTAGCGTGTACCTTCCAGACAGAGCCTTCCCTGGCCCTGCTGCCAGACAAATTTCTGTCCCCAGCAATGAACCACAGAGCCCGTAGGAGCTCTCTGGGGGTATCTGCTGGTGTGCCAGAGATGCCCCAGCACAGGGGGACACAGGCCCTGCAGAAACAGGTCAGTAACCTAGGCAAGGCAGGTTGTACTTCACCCCAAAACACCATTTGTTGTCATTAAAAGTTAATTAAGTTTTCTGCATCAAGTCAAATTTGAGAAGAAAAAGTACACCAAGTATGAGCTTCAAACACCATTTGAGAAGTAACTCTGCCTTGGGGTTTAAGCCAGACCCACAGGCATCCGGGGCGGTGTGCCCCAAGGCAGCACCTGACACAGTCAATCCCAGACCAAGGAACTCAAGATTTATATGAAGTGGAAACTCTGCACCAGAGGAAAAGCTGGCACCAAGCTGAGCTACACTGCCAGAGCATTCCCCTTCATCACTGTTACAGCCATCGGAATATAACACTGGAGCAGTTCTCCCCCATCAATCAGTAAAGCTTCTTCCAAAAAGTTACCTCCTGTGGGAAAATGCCCTCTGCTGCAGCTCATACTCAACTCAAAAAGCCTGGATGCAGAAAGTGATGCTGCAAGTTCCAGAAAGTTCAGAGCCAGCTGAGTGATGAGGCTGCCCACTGCTTCACATCCACAGGGCAGTTTGGGTACACCTGCAAGGCATCCATGATCTGAGTACTGTCCAATAGCAGCTTCATCAGGAGGTACTCGCGCTGAGCACGTATATTTGGTCTTTCTATTGGCCTTACTAATTCCAGCTGTAGTAAGTGTTCAAATGCCTAAAAATGAAATAAAAAATAAGAGAGGGAAGATGACACTGTTCATTTTGGATGACCAGGCACACTGCTGCTGGAAGCCTGTCATGTGCTAGCCAAACAGCTGTTTGACAACAGCTCTGGTCTGCTTCATATCCTTTGCACATACATCAAAGCATGTCAGCTATGGTGGCTGATGTAGAATTCGCTTTCCTTCTTAGAGAAACCATATTTGAAATCCAGTGTATGGGTAACTGGAATGATGCTGTTACTCAGGGAAACCAAAGGGGAGGTCTGTGCCAAACACACAGCATTACATAATTTCCAGCTGGATTACACTGAATTGGAAACCAAGTGTGCTCAGTTGGAAGAGGGGAAAGAGCTTTGACCACACAACTGGATTAATTCATCAACAGAAAAGGCAGCACCTGATGGTTTGTAACCAAAACACAGTTCCCAACTTGCATCTCAGAGTGTAGTTGTATGAGCAAGCCAGCCATATCAGACTGCAGACTGATTCCATACACCAGTCAGACCTACTGGATTAAGAAAAGCCCATTTTTGATGGGGTAAAGTTAACTGAAGTTTTGGAGAGTGGAAGTGAACATGCTCCCTGAAGACACCTGTGCACATACACAAAGCTCTCCTTGGGAAGCTATCTCTGATAGTCAGTCTCACTGAACCCTTATCCTAAGTTAGGCTCCCTTAAGAAAGGCTTCACGCTGGTACTAAACCATTCAAAGTGTAGCTATTTCCCAGCTGGACACCACCTTGAGCTCCCACCTGAGGTGCTTGGTCTAAGCTCTACCCCCATGAAGGGCCCTGTCTTGCATCAAGAGCTGCATTTGACTACTCAGCATCTCTGCCCTAAGAAATAAAAGACATCTCAATACTTGACAATTAAAAAAATAAGAAAGACATTTCAGGCTTACCTTCATGACAACAGGCTTTTCAAAGTTGTACATACAGTGTGCCTTCCTCTGTACAAACTTCTGGAATTCTGTAGCAGTAACAGGAAAAAACAGCGAGTTACTTAGGGGAAGTAACTGATGCAGGGTTGGTAAGGTTCAGGCATTTCTCTCACCATTGTAAACCATCTGGAAGTTAAAGGGTTCTCCTTCATAAACATCATTCAAGTGTTTCATAGCTATAATTAGGCAGATTTCCAGGACAGACAAACCTAGAGGGAAAGACAAGAGCTCTAAATACTTCATCTCAGAAATGCAAGCAGCTCTCACACTATTTTTATATGCTGTAGGCCTCACCTATTTGTGTAATACATCTTCTTAGCGTTAAAAAAAAAAATAATCCAAAATCTGAGAGGCTAGGTAAAAGAACACTTTTTTCCCCAGGTATTCAAAGAAATGGGCTGTTTCCATCAAAAAGCAAGTAATATAAACACAAAGAAAAGCCATTATTGCAATTGTATGTAGTGACACAGATGTTCAGTAGCACCAAGACAATCTCACTGGTACTGGACAGTATGTCATGAAGTGAGACTCTGAAAAGGTTATCTGAAGCTGAAGAAGTGACACAGCAAATCAGCTCCATGGTCCTGAAGGAGACTTTGGGAAGCACAGGACCAAGCCAAATCAGATCCTGTAAAACCTGGGAGCCATGAGGAAGCCATGGGCTGAGGTAACCCCTCCTGATCAGGGAAGCAGTTCCCCCTTTATTTAGACTTAGTATTACATCACCAGGAGATATCTCTCACTGTTTGTGCAGGTTCCAGAATGCTTTTCAGAGAAAACCTTAGTGTAGTGCTTGGTACATCTCCTCTGCCATGGTTTAGAAAGGGAGAACCCCCAGGTGGTGCGAAGGTGGCAGCAGCTCACAGAAACATGCCAGAAGGGCCTGTACAGCAGCTCAGCTAATGGCAGGTAAGCACATGCAGCTGAGCTCCCAGAGTACAGAATTCAAGTTCACGCTTCAGTTCTGTATCTACCCAAGCACAGACTGCTGCAAATCACAGAGGGTTTACTGCAACAGCTAAAGTACCTCCTGTACCCCCAGCTACCAGCACTGCAAGAATCAACGACTGGTTTGGGTTGGAAGGGACCTTAAAGACCATCCAGTTCCAACCCTGCTGCAACAGGCAGGGACACCTTCCACTAGCCCAGGTTGCTCCAAGCCCTGGCCAGCCTGGGCTTGAACACTGCCAGAGATGGGGCTACCACAGCTTCTCTGGACAACCTGTGCTAGGGCCTCTCCCTCACAGTGAAGAGCTTCTTCCCAATATCTAATATAAATCTCTCCTTTGTCAGTTTAAAGCCATTCCCCTGTGTCCTGTCACTACCTGCTGTTGTTAAAAAGCCTCTCCAGCTTTCATGTCAGCTCCTTTAGGCACTGGAAGCTGCTCTAAGGTCTCCCTGGAGCCTTCTTTTCTGCAGGCTGAACAAGCCCAGGTCTCAAAGGACCCCAGAGCTGAATGCAGTACTCCAGGTAGTCTTATGAGAGCAAAGCAGAGGAGCAGAATCGCCTTCCTGAACCTGCTGGTGATGCAGGAAGGAGTCAGCATCTTCCCTTCCTCCACCATGTCAGCAGGACTGACACAACGGTCTAGGCTAGTTCCTTTGCCCAGGCTACCAGTGCTTTTCCTGGCTAGCAGTGATGCAGCAAACTAGCCATCTGGCACTGCCAGCTGTATGCCCACATCATAGTGGTGCACTGGCCAAGCTCTTTACTAGTCTGTAACCATCTCTAATTTATTCAGCATTGTTATACTCACACATGCATATGAATGCCCAGGAGCATTCTGTGGGAGTGGTATTCCCTGTGCAGCTCATACCAACAGGCACACTGCCCTAGACAGTATCTCTTACATCAGAAGTTCAAGGAGGGACTTGAGTTTCATACTCCCAAGAAACATTTTGGGGGAAGAGGGGAAGCTGAGCTTTACCATGTACAATATTTGCTCTTGAGTCCGTTCGATACTGCTTGCTTGCTTCATGGAGATCTGATGCGGTGATAAGTGGGTGATGCACAGTAACGTTACTTAGAGCAAGCATCTAAAAATAAAGCAGCAGACATTTTTCATTTAATTACTAATTACCAGACATACTTTCTGCTTGGGGGTGAGATGCAGAAGAACACATTTCCCCTGGAGTCACCTACTGGAAACATTAATGAATAAACCCCCACACACAGTAAGCTCATACTGAAAGCCTTGTAAATAGCTGGTAGCTACAACTACATTTTGCCAGGAAGGTTTTCCAGGCTTAGAACTTTAAAGCCTTCTCACTGGAGGACATAAACGCTCATTACCTTGTTTATATTCATTTCAGTGCATTAGCATACTTTAGTGATTGCTGACTCACAACTGGTTTAAACACACCTTTGTGACAGGGAGCGGAAAGTGCCAAGGAAGTGCCTGAAGGCATCACTCAGTTTACGGAATAGGAGTGACCCCTTCAGAGCATTTGCTAAAGTCTCACCTTCTTACAATATGAATCCTTAACAACATTCAGCTACCTGCCACAGGAAAAGAGTTTTGAACAAGTGTGAGTTAATAGATAGGTAACTGACCTCTTCTACTACCACCCTTCCAAAGCTCTGGATTAGCCCCAAGGCTTTCTGCAGCAGCAGGCACACTGCAGTGACCTTCACTTGCTCTTCAGGACTTCAACTATCTGCCTTGTAAATACTTTGTGGACAAAATGAAAAACAAATGTTTTTAGTGACTATTTCCTACTTTTGCAGCTCTGTGTGATGAAAAGCTTATTTTCACTGAGGTCTTTCACCATGAACATCCAATGCTATCTACCACCAGTCCTTCTCCATCCTCTTTCTCTCCTTACACACGGGGCTCAGGAAGAGGCTGGTCAGACAGGCAGCCATTGGCTTTTTTCTGGCATTAACTCAAGCCACAGAGACAGAACTGGGTGCCCTTAACTTCAAAATAATCTGCAATCTTGTAACAAACTCCAGTAAAGAGAAGGCTATCAAAGAGAGGGCTTGGATCATGCTCTCTGTTTCGAAACTAAAGCAGAAAGTCTATGATCTAGTTTTTGGAGTGACTGTAAGCCCAGTGCTGGGTAAAGCTGTCAGCACTGAAGCCTCCAAGAAGAGCCAACCACCAAGCAGAAGGTTAAAATCTGAATCCTTGCACCACTTAGGATACGCAGGTACATTCAGTGGGGTTTTCACACCTGACAAAAACATACAGATTTTAAGATGGGTAAAAAAAAAAAAATATATCTCTTTGGTAATCAATGTTAGTGAATTCATATTAATTGCACTAAAAAAACATAAGTGAAGGAAGGCAACTTTTGAGAGAAATAACCATCCAAGAGAGCCTGACCATGCGTTAAGCTTCAGCTCATTTGTCCTGACAGCAGGAAGTTGACCATCAGCATTACCTCCTACTTACCGAAAACAGAATTATTCTCTCTAACAGGGGAGCAGCAGTCTAATTTTTCCCCACACAGTGCAGGAGGCTTTCCTTCCACCCCTAACATAACTGGGAAAGGTTGAAGCTACCAAGTGCAGTTCTGAAAGCTTCCTCAGGCCCTTGGTGCCAGATAATGTGATCACTTGGAAGACAAGCATTAACTTCTGTCTCAGTATTTTGTAGGGATTAGTAGCCTCAAGCTTCCAGCATCTCAAGATTTAAAAGATTAAGATCACATTTCCCAGACTAGCATCATAGTAACGGACAAATTCAGGACAGCATCTAGGCTACCTAAATTGCTCCATGTATCAAACCAGCTCTGGAAAACAAAGCAGTGCCTAATCAAACAGTTCACAAAGTGATTTTATCTGATACTCTGCACAAGAAGAAATTGGAAGTGATAAAAGAAAACAAAAGCATTTCCCCTGTGTGAATAGCAAGACTTTAGGCATATGGGAACACTCTCACTGAAGCGGTACCCAGGAGCAACCAGTCCATAAAGCCAAGTAACCTTGTATCGCAGCAGGGGCTATGGCTTAGGAAGAAGGAGGAGTGAAAAAAGGGATGACAACAACAAATGTTTTGGCTTTAAGTTACAGTTATTCAACTAAAAGCAGTTCCATAAAAGCACTTGTGTGCTTTTATGTTGAAAGTGCGGATACCTACACAGAATTATGCTAGAGCAGCTCAAGGAACAGGCAGGTACCACTGACACACCCTAACAGTGCCAGCAGGATGACAAAGCAGAGAGTAGAAGGTGTTGCAAGTACACAGTTAAGCCACAGTAGTAAAAAAAATGGCGCCAACATTTATTGGTCTTTGAAGATAACAGACATTGATGAACAGCAGCAGGTTCAGTACAGGGACAGATTTAGGGAAAGGAGGAATATTTAGGTTCAACAACAGACTTCCATGTAGCAAAAGCAGGTTTCAGTACAAGCAGTTCTCAGGATTCACCAGCAACCAAAAAGAATCTCTGAAAGGAAAAAACAATTTGAAAGTATTTCACCCACAGTTTTGCTTTATACGTGGAAAGGCCTGGAAAAGGTTATTTTCAATGCCAGAAGGCTGGCTTGAAAGACACAAGTGCTGTTTGCCAGTTACTGAAAAGCAGGAAGATACTATATACACATCAAAATACATACCAAGAGCAAGTGAAGTGAGCGCAGGTCTTTACTGTGGTGAAAAAGGTTCTGCAGCACGTCCTGCACAGTTTTATCCTCTGAGAGATGCTAATAAATAAATAAAATTTAAAAAAGGCAAAAAAAGAGGTAATTTAATTGTCTCAGCAAATATTTCCTACTCACCTGAAAAAATACAGTCAGCTGACTTTCAGGAAGAGATCAGATTACATGTGACAATGCAGTTCTTTGTGTCTAACCTTAACTTTCTGGTCTTTTAATTTTACCTCTGGACTTAAACAAGCAAAGATTCCCTATCACAATTTACTACTCTGTATCAAACTCAAATAGTGAAAGGCAATACTAATCTGAGGTAAAGGCTTTGCACTTATTAACCGGCTTTACTTTAGAAGTTTTACTAAAACCAAGTGTAAAAAGCTTTAAATACCTGAACATTAGTATTCCATTTTTGTGCAAAAGACTTATCAGGAAATTCAGCAGGAAGAGCAAGCTGTTCCTTGAATATCTTAATGTATTGTTTAAAATCAAAAGAATTCGTCAAATATATCTGTCGGTGAGAGAACCTTGACTTTACTCTCTTCTCCAAGAGCTCCAGAATATCCTTGGTAAAAAAAAAAGTACAAACAATAATTAAAAAGAGAAGCTGCATTTAATGCATTCTTTGCTAGAATGAAAACTACAAAACACCAAAGTAAATCCTGTTTAAAATAAAGGAATTATTGAATTCTCAGGCTTGAAATGTTCTAGCAAGACCTTCGCTAATTATTATAATCCATGTACCCCAAAATGCCCAACGATTGGCCACTCACCCGAATCACGTGCTGCACTACATCACACAGGCTAATTAGTTGCTAGGATACCCAGCAAAATTTCTCCATTGATTATGTAAATATTTCAGTTACTTAAGTCTGCATTCGAGATGTTTTAGCCACTGTGGCTCTAGATCAGTTGTCTAGTTAGTAGACATGGGGGTTGGCAGCTGTCAGTTCACATGCCTTTTATCAGACCAAAAGAACCCAGCTTAAAAGTACCCCAAAACACTTAAGAGCCAGTATTTATCTTCCAGTATTGTCACACAGAACTAAGCAGGTCTGCCATCAGGTTGTCAGTGTTAAGAGAAAACAGCTTACTTTTCTCAGAATGTATGGCAATAGGTGGCATCAGAAACAAGCTGTGGGGTTCATCCTGAGAAACCCAGTACTACTACCCTACCCGATATCGGCACAGAAGGATTGCACTCCTAGTTACTAGGAATTTTGGGTGGTCCTTTTAGGGTTTTTAAGGGTTTAATGTGCATTGGTTTCGGTAGTTTTATTTCCACTAAAAAAAAAAAAAAAAAAAAAAGGCTTTAAGAATACTGAAGCTCCTTACCAAAAGGGAGCAGTAAGTGTAAATAAGGAGCCAACAATTCAAAATACAAAGACAACTTTGGATTTAGAAATCACATGCAACAGAGACCAGAAGCAACAGCTATCACCACAACCATGGTATGGCCTCTGAAGACTCCACCCTGACTACATTCCAAAGCAGAGCAATAGGGGTTTCTAAACAGTGCGTGATGAGGATACCAGGCTCAGGACAGTAGTCACAGAATCACAGAAGCATTTGGGTTGGAAGGGACCTTAAAGCTCATACAGTTCCAAGCCCTCTGCCACAGGCAAGGACACCTAATAGACCAGGTTGCTCAAAGCCCCATCACAAAAGATAAGAATTTACTAAATCAATTATTAACTACTCTATTAACTTTCAGCAATGTGCCCAGCTAAACATCACCAAAGCCCAACTAACCCGAGATTTAGGCTGCAATGGAAGATTTTAATCATTCTTCTTGTCATAACCCAGCTATCTTTATCACCAATCCAGTTTACTGAGAAAAACAGTATAATTTTTATAAAGCATCAACTTCCATAGTGTCAAAAATGTCATCATTTCACAGTATATGCAAAATCTGTCCACAGTTCCCTACAATGTTACTGTAAATATCATAGCAAGTTTAACATGGATCCTAAACCCATTTTGAACATGGTCATCTTATAGCAATAGTGCCCTACTGAAGTGTTTGCTTAAAAAAATTCCTTGTCCCCAGAACAATGTTTTAAACACTGTAGATTAATACCATTCTGTTCTTACCAACTGCTGACCAAGAAACTGCAATGCCCAGGAGCCTCTCCAAAGAGGGAACAACATTCCCTGCTAATATGAAACAGCCACATGGATAAAAATACAGCTCTCCTGTGGTAATACAGGACCACAGCCTTGTGTCTCTTTAGACGTGTAAACCTGCTTGCCTAGCAGTGCAAAGGAAGGCTTTGCAGTATTTTGGTTATTCAAGTTTGCTCCCAGCACAAATTATTGTTTTGTTTTGTTTTTTTTTTTTTAAATCACCCTTACTACCATTCCCAACTCTAAAGTCAGAAAAATGCATAATAAGTCTCTTAGTAAACTAAGCAAGGCTCCAGGAGAGCAGAAAACATCCCAACTAAAGCAGCTGAAAACACTGAATGATAAAGTGCTGTTTCTTACCTGCCTACACGTAAGTCCAATAACTGTTACTGGAGTCTGGGCTGACTGTGATATATCAAAGAGGTTATAGAGCAGCGTCTGATTCTTGTGATGAACAAACAAGTCAAATTCATCCAGTATAAACAAGACTGGACAACTGCTAGTTCGATCTCCTGAGACAGCAATTTGAAAAGTTAGTCTGGTAACTTCATCACTGGGCTTCCATCTCTGCAGCTCTCACAAGCTCCCAGTTTAACAACTTACATTATTTTCTTTTAGCTTGTCATTAAGCACTCCTTTCATTTAAGTACTGCTACAACAGTAGAAACAAAAATACATGGAAAAATTGATAAGGTTTTGTGTTATTCTGCCAAGCACAGTTTCTGGTTGCAAGGGAAGGCAGACTTCTATGTTCTTTTCTAAAAGCATGATTTTCAATAGCTTCAATCTGGATAAAAGAATCTGTGATCATCACATGCAAGCCTTTACAGCCTCAGTTATGTTAAGTATATGTTTGCTTGGGGTTATGTATGTTTCAGGTTATTTTGTAACCATAACACGTTCTTGGGCTAGGATTCTTCGTAACACTTTTACACGTAGATGAACGCACACATATACACTAACTTTTCATTCAAATGACAAACACGCATACACACTGTTTCAGAACAGGGGCTACTAGTACCTACCTTTCCTTAAAGCTTCAAGAAGGAACGCAAGATTTTCAGCAAAACTGCCCTATACGGAGAAGAAAAATGTTCCACAAGAGATTTTCAATATCATTCTCAGAACTGTGTAGCAATGTCCAGTTCAGGCACCTAACAAAGGCCATCTCCTTCTAAACCCCTGCTCTCAAAAACTTACAATGTTACTTCATGTTGTATAATCATCACCTCTACAGGACAAGGAAACGGGGAGTTAACCCTACACTGATCCACTTCTTTCCACTCTGAAAACCCCAAACTAATCGCCTCAGACAGGCCAAAATTAGCAAGCAGAAGAATGCCTACAATAGCTAACTTTGGAAATACCATTATTTTTCCTTAAATAGCTAATGCACATGCATTTTCCCTCTACATGCATGCAAAACCTGACAAAGTGTTCCACTGAGAAACATCAGTATGCAGCTTTTTAATCTGCAACCTTGTTAGACAGATCAATGCATCAAACATTCATGACAGACAACAATGGATTGCTATGACCACCCTGCTTCAGTTACACACATTTACACTCTCTGAACTACACAGGGTATGAGATGGTAAGTAACTACAACTGAAGACCACAAGCCTGATCAAAGAAGATAGAAAAGCCAATTAACTGTCCAATTGTAAATTTCATAAGCTAAGATAGGAAGTTGAAGAAGGGACAGACATTCCCACAAATCAGTATGTTTCTCTGCCCATGTGCAACCGAAAGTTAAGAGTTTAAAGTAGTACTCCACAGTAATGCAATGGAGAAAATTACAGGAGAATTACGCACAAAGTCCAGTTTTGCATCCAGCATTTTTGGAGGTGGAACTGTGGACTTTGAAAGGTTGTTCTAGTTCTCTGTTGAAAGGACAACCCATTCAAATGACTATGCTGAAATCAAATACCTGCTGTTTCCTTTTATTACTGCTGCTGTATTTGGGAAAATTTTAGCTTATGATTAGAAAAGGTTCTCCATTCTCTGTATCTAAAATCATTTGGGATAAGAAACCAAAGCACAGCCCAAGAAACAAGCATTTCCAAAAGATAATAAAGCCTAATAACTACAATCTTGTATTCTGCACTGCTTCCAACCTAGTTCTCTGTTTTTTCTTAACTGAAGCAGTAACATCTCTTTTTAGCTTTCCAAACACAACTGATGGAAATAAACCTAATCTATTGCAATTTCACCTTTCACTCCCCTCCTAATTCTGCTTTAGCCACCTGGATTGGTATTATACATGGCTCTCAAATACGTAAACTCTGTCAATCTCACAGGCCCTATCAAAGAGCTCAAAAGGACCTTCTGTCACATCAGAAGATGGCCTCTCAAAAATACTCATTAAATATAATCTGAAGCACTTCCGCTATTCTCTTTATTACTGACTTCAGTACTTACGTAAATGAGTCAAAGCCCATTCAGTCTAAACAGCTGCAGACTATAAAGCCAGTTTTCTAGGCAAAGATTTTTGAGAGATACAAGCTAAGAGTATAATAAAGTTGATACTTACAAAAACTTTATCCCCAACTACATTTTCCAGGTTCAACTGTCTGGTGATTTCCTTCAGGGCCACTCTATCATTAGTCTGCAGAAGCCCTGAAAGAATACATTTTTTCATGAAAAAACTGGCAGTTCTTCACTCCAAGAGACCACGTCTACTGCCACTGGAACCTTATCCAGACATTTCTCTCGATTTCCAGCCTTACAGAGCTATGTCTTTTTATAAATTAAGACTAAAGAGTAATTTTCTACATGTAAGAAGTTACTTAAAATAACTGGGTCACAACTGAACGGATTTTTAGCATTTTGGTAAGTCATTAAAAGCACAGAAGTTCTCTTCATATAGAGAGATACAAAATAAGGCATTTTGGACCTCACAGAGAAACACGTCCATAACTGAGGAGAGATTACAATTGCTGAAACCAAAATTTTTGTTTAATACATACAACAGAAGCAACCGAATGCAACGTGACTTTTGAATAATGTTGTATTACTGACCATTCAGACGAACTTCCAAAAGGTTCCCTCTAACTTGTTTCATTTCCTTAAGCTCTTTTAAAACACGATTTAATAACTAGGGAAATAAAAAATAAACAAGACAAAATAAATTATTTCTTTAGAAGGAGATTTATGTCATAGCAATAAGTGTACAAACTGATTATTAGCAGATAGGAAACAGTAAGCGCAGTTTCATTAAGTAACAATGTTTTTGAGTACTTTCAAGACTAAAATACTAAAATGAAAACTTCACATTCACTGTCATGACTGTAGCAATTACGTTTGTTCATTCTGCTGAATTAGTAGAGAAAGAAATGTAAAAATTACTACAGTATTTTAGTCACTCATTCTGGGGACTAATATCTAGGGCTTTTGCCTTAATCCAAAGAATCTTTATGAGTTTGAGATGTGAGAGAATTTGTCTCGAGTTAGTATTCAGTTTCACTGCTCCATTAGATGCTGCAGAACAAAAATCTTTGTTTAAATCTTTAAAGACACTATGCTTTCGTCTTTCCTCTTTAAGGAAGCATGAAACAGCACATAATTACATCAACTGTTGCTTATAAAACTTAGGGGTCCCAAATTTACAGTCTATCCAGAACTTGTTCTTGGCAAAACTTTTTAGAAACTTGTATTAAAATACATACATGGAGATGAAATGTTAACTTCTTATGCACTTGGTACGCTTTGCTTTTGCTTCCTCAGCTAAGAATTTACAGCTCCCATGTGCATGTATGTATACATGCATATACAGTTATATATACACATACAACTTGCTTGTCTCTAGCAGTCTTTTTTGAAAACTAACATTTTCACTTGATATAAGAAAATAATTCATTTTGCATGTGTGATTTGTTTACTTATATTCTGGCAGGAAAGATCACAAATTTTGATCTTCACCAGACTTATGTAAAAGGTTTGGGGGGGGGGACACGGGACACTTTAAGTAACAAAAATAGTTTAAATAATAAAAATTATTAAAATTAAAGTATTATTTTAAGTAATAGTTCTAGTGATTGGGGGGCATGTGGTGCTAGATGGATCATTCTGTTGCAAGTTTTTAAAAATCTTTGTCATGTACTGCAATTTGCTTGCAGTATAGAGCTCATCCTTTTCTACTGATACGGTATTTAAAAGCAGATATAGTTAGACTCCTACTACAGATGCCAATACTTAGTATATGGAAGCACTGAACAAAAAAAGCATATGCACTTGGTTTCTCAAGTTTATGCCCAATAAGAAGATGCCATTCATTCAGGTTAGCCCCTTAGGCAACAATATCAATAAAACCTTGAATGTCTACACTGTAAATAATAACAATCTAAAAACTATTTTCTGCACCGTAAAAGCATGTGTTGCTTACTTACAAATCTGTAAGTCTAATAAAGAAAAACTAAACCCGAGTTCAAGAGGAGCAGGAGGTACATAGGTGGAGGAATCCTTATTTGCTATCAGTTTATCAACTCTTTCCGCACCACCACACCATAGTATTTTGGCAATTATCCTTCTGAAGTGCCATGTGTAACAGAAGGTAACAATACTGAATCCTTTTGAAATGTAAAACAAAAAAGCTATCAATAAATTGGCAGAATGACTGGGGTCAGCTCTGTCATGGATATGTTTACCACCTATTAATTTATTACTATTCAACTATATTTAAAAGATTGAAGGCCACTTGCTTTAGCACCTGGGGAGATCTCTGAAGTAGTTTTTGTAATTTTTCAATCTTCAATACTTTTTGCAGTAATAGCCAACCTATGAATTAAATTATGTGCTCACAGAAGACTTTACTGTTTGCACAATATTAAGTGTATAACCCTTAGATGTCAACCCGTCACATGGCTCAACTAAAAAGTTTCTTTAAAATACAAACCATACACTTGTAAACTAGAACTGCTATACATTCTTCTACCTCCAAGCAATTAAGGTAACAATGTTCTTCAACGTGTTTAAACCAGGATTAAGATACCATTCTCTAGATACAAACATCTACAGTCTGCATCCCTCTACATATAGTTTGTATCCCCATCTATAGTATCCATCCCTCAATCTACTCCTTTTGCAGTTTTTGGATGCCTTTTCAGTCATTTTTACAGCACAGGCCCAATAGCAATAGCAGTTTAACTTGTAAAGAGTACACAAAATGTGGTTTTAACTGCAAAGACGAGCAACTCCTTTGTGGCAAGAACCACAGAGATTGCAATAGGAGAAATGCTGAAAGGAGGCAGAATCCATGATGTTGTCAGATCACAGAAAGACAAAATCAACTTGTTCTGATAAAATTATTTCCATTTTACATGTTTTGGGTACCTGTGGTGTGTCACAAAACCTGGTGAAGACACAAAGAATTCCAAAACCAGGCATACTTCTGCAAGCCACTGTGAGGATGGACCAGTACATGTTTTTGTCAGCAGCACATGAAGCTGTTCTATTTTACAGAATCAGTAGAAATTCAGCATTTGAAAAATTTCAGAATATTGTTCAGAAGCAAATTTCTCCATTTGTTATTCAATAGAATTAGCTCACAAGAAGTCCTAGATTGTTCTGAAATTGCATGTAAAAAACTAGCAATTCTCTCTTTACAAACAGGTAGAGATGAAAATCTAGCTCCAAAACCCCCCAAGACTTCATTGAGGCCATCTAACTCACGCTTAATTTGACCTAATGTAAACTTTTAATACATGCTTATACCGCAGTCTTTCCTGATCCTCGGGGTCCAATAATGAGGGCAGAATTACTTTCTCCATGAACTGTAGTCCGTTTCAGCAGATCCAGCAGATGTCTGTGTTGACAACAGCAATAGATTAAAAACTTCAAAGCAAACAACATTCACTTAAACTATGGAAAATTCAAAGACTCCTTAGAACATGAGAAAACTTGACACTTTTCAACTTGCTCTCAGAGCTAACACTCAGGGCATGCAAAACGGAACACGATAAAGTACAAAAGGCTGAGCGACCAGATCTCTTAAAACGGTTTAAAATATTTAACCATGCAGAAGTCGGGAGTATCACTAAAGTTCAGTCATTCTCCCCCATGAAAGGACAGACTTCAATAACTATTTCTTCCTCAAAAAAAAAAATAAAAATGGAAGACTGCTTTCTGTGATACCACTACAGTTCACAAAAAAAATCCCAAAGACTAGCAGACAGACTGAAGGAAAGCCTTGACGCCAGCAAAAATTAATATTCTAGTGGAATATATTCATTTTGACAATCTTCACAAAACTAATTATATGCTAAATTTAGGTATTCAAAGCTTGTGAATGGTAACAGCAATACTGAGCTTCAAATTCATGTTCTATTCCCATCTAAAAGAACAAAAACCAACTCTAAGTTCTCTTCAGATAGACTTATTGCACTGTACCACATCTAAAGTACTTATAAAAACTACTGACACTTCCAATTGCCAAACGCTTACAAATGCTGGGGCTTTTTCTGGGGTTTTTTAGTGTGGTGGTATTGTTTTTGTTTGGTTGGTTTTTTAACTTACAATATTGACATTATCCAATCGCTTCTAAAGGAGTGATAAAGCCATCCTGTAAAAGTTGTAGCAAATGCGTGTGGGTTTGCTCACTGTTTGGGAGCTACCTATAGCAAAGAGCCCAGATACATCTTGAGAAAGAAAGTAAGAGTTGGGAAGTTCATTACGGTTTTTCTCCAGTTCAATTCACCAACGGTGGTGTATTAAACAGAGGACAGTCTCTAAACTGTTGTTCAGAATCCCAGTATGAGGAGGGGAGGCTCACTGTGTAGAATGCTAACATCATAGAAATACATTTTCTCACAACATGCCTATGTGAGCTCTGCCTACATATGACACCACACTTAATACACTAACAGCAGAAATGTTATTTTCCTTTTTCTAACAGAAAGGAAACTAATGCTCACATCAGGTGATTCAACTTGCATAAAGTTACTCTTGGAAAAATTTATGTAAGTCAAGTTCTTTAGAAATACATTTTTTCAAAATTTGACCTGCACCTGTAAAAGTGCTTTTATTAAGATAGCATTAATGTCACAATAGGTCCCTTCTTCCTAGCTTTAACCTCCACATCTGGATGACCCCAAGAGGTTTTGAACATGGATCTCTACTTCAAGAAACATGATGTTGGCATCCAATGTTTAAGATTAACTTTTAACACAGCTTACCAATAAACGGGAGGAATCTAAAGTAAAAATAAAAATTCACAACGTGAGAATTAAAATTTTGGCTTGTTCAGGTCATTAAATATAGCCTTAGAATATGCACTACAAGTATTTTTCAGGCTCAAAAACAACATTTCAGGAATTACAGATTTGAAACAAGGACAAGAAATACAAAAATCAGAACAACAGTTGTATTAACTTAAAATCTGAGGCAAACAATTTTTAGAAGCACTGCGCTGTAAGCCATTTAAGCCTGTATAATTTAGAAAAACAGAGGCAGCAGAAAATTCTAACTTCATCTCATTATTTTTCTACTGTTGTTAAAGTCAAAATTACTTAGTCTGTTCACTCACCTGTACTGATGTTCAATCCGAAAGAGTTTTCCAGCAGCACAATGGTGACAGAATCTTTCACGTAGGATTTTCTGTGCCTATGGATACAACACAAGAGAGACTGCTTGGAGCTTCAAATACCAGGATGTACCAATAATGTAATTACAGCAATAAACCCATAGGAAGAACACGGAAATTTTAATTGTCATCAGTGATTCAGGAATCGTGAAAGTAACAATAACACTGTAGCAGGCAGCAATATTTTGCAGACTCCTATAGCACAGAAGGGAAAATTCAGCTACATGATAGCAATGTGTAACTTTGGTCTCTTCTGCTACAGTTCCTTTCCTTCACCACCCAAAAGGATGTTACACTTGCCACCAGAATGATGCCAGTAGTTCATCTAATTTGTAGCTCTAACTTCCTGTGCAATACAGGGAAACAAACATTTACCAGCTGACTGAAAGATGACATAACCCACTTCATTATTCCCCAAAATCCTCAGTGAATATGTTTTTTGCATCACTCACAACACCACTGAAGCCTATCAGAGTAAAATATTAGTATCAAATTTACAGTTACTTTGAAGATTCAGTTCAGATACCTTCTAACACTTGGCTAATTTATAATTTACAAGGGAACTATTACCATCAGCTTTCAGCAGTTTTGGTTTAAAAATAAATACATGTTGATGCATCTCCGTAAAGTACTTCTCAGCAAGTCTAAATAATGGACAGAAGATGGAAATCCATTTTGCTAATAATTCCACTTTATGAAATTAATTTTTAGTACGAGCTGTATTTGCCTGATTTTTCAGTTACTTCTTCTTCTACTAAAGCTTTACTGATTTACTTTCCAAATTTATTCTGTTTAGTGAATAATACAAGCAGTCAGCATTGTCCATTCACAAGTGAAAAAGTTTTCCACCTGTAAAGGGATTTTATAAATAAACTACAAAAAGATTAAAATATAAGAAACCACTAAACCAGAAGTAATTCACTACAAAATTCATCACGGCTTTTAAGCAGCCACTTTGAAGAAACAGAAGAATAAAGGTTAAAAAAACCCCAACAAACGAGCTGAAAACTAATTTGGCAGCTGCTGTCCTGCCTCACATAAGCTGTTAAAAACAAGCCACCTAGATCCTGATTCACCCTGCAGACCGGGAGATACAGAATCTGATTAGGTAAAAATAGATTTATGCAAATCTGCTGCTACAATCATAGCAAAAGCTCAAGACCATCCTTTATTGTTTTTATTAAGACTCCAAAAGGTAGATCATTTATGTAGCACTTGAAGCAAACATCAGGTGAGAAGCTGAAATACAGAATGTAAATACAAAAAAAACCCAAAACATTTAGAGCCCTAGAAATTACATTGTGCATCTGTATATGTCTCTTTAACTGTTCTAGTAAAAAATTACAGGATGACATGGATGGCAAAGGATGGAAAAGTTTCAGACTTTACAAAACAAAGTCAGCCAATAAGGATGTTACTAACCTGTGAAATACATTCTCCATTTGCTCCACCACTCTCCTTCGCTTTACGCTTACTCATTGCAGAAGGCTTGATCTTTAAATAAGAACGTAACGGTTATACTAAAGAATATGTATTCACAAATAATGTTAATCAGAAGTTGTATTTCAATGTTAGTAAACTAAATTTAGCATAACCAACAAAAACTAGTTAGTTCCTAGTTTCAAAGAACTTGCACTGCAATAAGCATCTTTTCTTAACTGATAAGGATGTGGTAAATTCACCTTACCAGCGAAAAAGACCCAAAACCTTTAAAGGTTTTTTAATTCACTTCTGCTTAGACTAAATCCATGTTTTCATACAACTTCTGAAAGTATCTACTTTAGGATGCTTTTCAATGCAACACAAACAGTGCCTAAGGCAACTGATAAGGCCATAACTCAAGGTCTGCCATCAAGTTCCTAATGGCGGTTATTCTCAGCAGGCATGCCAAGGTTCACTAAGGTGGAACACGCAAACTGATCTGTCACAGCACCGGGAGCGACATTTTCAGCATTTACGCTTTAGGCACATCACTGTGAACCACCACATCGAATACTCTCCGAGTAAGCTGTACTAACAAGTGACATTTGTACATCATCCGACCAAACACCAAACGTAATTCATGTGTTTTAAATGTGTTTCAGGTAGTTCAAAACGGTATGCTTCTGAAGCTGGAACAAGCCACAGGCACATGGTAACGTGTTAGGTTACAACATTTAAGTTTTGACATTACCAATCGGCTACCCCATGCTTAAACTGGTGCAACTTATAATAACCAGTCTCCCTAAACAAGACAAGCAAAAGCCAATCCTCCTTCTCCGTGATAACAGAAAGCTTCCAAGACTTTCTCCACGACAATTTATGCTTATTTTAGCACAGCCGCTTCTCAGTTTTGCTCCTTCTGTTGTAAAGCCAGCACCGTTCCGCCCCTAGCACAGCATCTATGCCCCCAAAGGACGAGACCAGCTGCTAAAAACCCCACATAAACGAAGTCGTCACTGCGGAATCAGACACGAAGGAGCGCAGGGCACGAAAACACAAAGCAGAGACTGAACTGAAACCGTCAGAAGAATCAGACTGCAACTGCAGCAAGGCTACCGGTCGAGAAGCGTACTCCGGCTTTTACCCCGATACCAAGCCGCCGCATCCCACCGAAACCTCCCCTCGCCCGGGCCGAGCTCCTCGCGCATTCCCAGCGGGAGGCTCCGCTCCCGCCTATCACCCACCCCCGGGAGACGCGCGTTCCCGCCTCCGCGGCCAACACGGAGTTCCTGGTGGGGCGGCCCAGCAACGTTGGCCTACGGCAGAGGGCCAGCAGTTGCCGCCCCTCGGAAGCCAAACCCCCCAGGACCGGCGGCACTGCCACAGCTCGGGGACAGAAAGGGGCGCCTCCTCCTCTGCCCTGCACTCTCCACCCCGGAGCCGCCCGGTGAGGCAGCGAGCAGCGTAGCGTAGCATGCCATGCCTCACCTGAGACAGCGGCCGCGTTACCCACCACCCTCACGCCGCACGCTTACCCGCCTCTCCACCGCGCCCCCAGCAGTCAGCGCGTCACTTGCCCGCCCCCCTCACGTGACCGCAGGCTGCCCTCCACCCAGCCCACCCGCCCCCTCACTTCCGCCCCGTCCATGCCCAGCCACTTCCTTCCGCCCCGCAGACGAGTCTCCTTCCGGGTACGCGCGACGCGCGCGGCCCTGTGGGAAGGCACGTCCCTCCCTCCTCCTCCCCCCCGCATCCTCCCGAGCTCCCCCGGGGCGCATGCGCAGTGGCTGCCTCCCCTCTTCCTCCCCGGCAGCGCCGGAGCCCCAGCAGCCAGAGCAGCAGCTGATGATGAGGAGCGCGGGGGGGGCGGGGGGGCCCGTTATTTATACCGTTAAAGGGACAGGGCGCTAATTCCGCTCGGCATCGGCGCGGGGGCGGGGGGCCAGTGCCAAGCGCCCCGAGTTTCTTCCCCCCCAACCCCAGCCCCGCCGGAGGAGACCGGGGAGTTTCTTCTCTCTCCTATCTCCACCCCCCCCTTCCCGGCGGCTGTCGGCGGAGGGACAGCGAAGCCGAGAGGCGGCCCCGGCGGGAGGCACCTCGGCGGGGGAGCGGCAGGCAGTTGGGCAGCCCCCACCCCCCGCGCTCCCCTCCTCCCCCTTTATTACCCTTTGTGTGCGTCTCCGCCTGCGCCGCTCCGGGGCCGGCCGGGCGCCGGGGGGCCGTTGAGGTGAGTGCGGGGCGGCGGCGGCGAGGGGGGAGCGGCGGTGGCTGGGCCGCCCGCTTGTTTACCTCAGGGAGGGAGCTGGGGGGGGGGCGGGCGCTCGGCCGCGCTGGGCCGCGGACAGCGGGGAGGGGGCGCCGGGCGCCCGCCTGTCACTTTGTGGCCCCTATCAGCGCCGGGGGCTCCCCCCGCACGGGCCGGCCGGAGCTTTGTTGTCGCTGGGGCGCGGGTGATGCTCTGTCCCCGGCCGCGCTCCCTTCCCCGTGGCTCCGGGGGTTGCTTCCCGAGCCCCCCTCCCGCGATCCACCCCGGGCCGGGGCGGGGGTAATGTCGGTGGGGACGGCTCGCTGTAGAAGGCGCGGTGTTACGAACGAAGTTCGGGATGGCTCTGGTGGGTACTGAGCCCCGGCTTGTCCCGAAAGTGTTGTTTTTCTCGCCGCAGTAGGGAATTCGGTGGCTGAAATAACGTCAGGGTACTGGGGAACCCTCGGGGTTTGAGCCGGTGGGCTCCCTGGATGTGCTTGCGCTGGTTTCAGGCCGTTATTTGACTTGTTAAACCCCTGCCGTCGTTAGGGCCCCAGTTGTACAAAGACCCACTGATGATCTTAACTTCTACGGGTTGTCCAGGAACTGGACTCCCGACGAACGTCAGTGTTTGCAAGATGAGAATTGGTGTGCGTGTGATAGCAGGACGTGGTTATTGTTGGGGGCTGGCTATATTTGGTCAGTGGCCTGTTTAAATATATGTGTGCGATCTGTTTTGCCATGGCCTGCTGCTGGGAAGGCCAAATGTCTTCATCCACTCTCAGGCTGTTACTGGTTTGTTAGGTCGGGTATCACCAGTGGGCTGATCTGACCATTTTTTCTGCTGATTAAAAGGGATGTTAGGTGTCAAAATGTCTGAAATAGGTATTAGTTTGCCCCCTTACATTTTAATCTGGCTCAAGGAAATCCTGACTCAAGGAGGCCTTCTAGAGATTTGCTAGAATCCAGAAGTAAGAGTTTGGTCATTAATGCCAAGTTGAAATAAGAGTTCTCTACATAAGTAGGATGTTTATATTAAAATTGCTGTTGTCTGCTTATTTCTGGAGCTTAATTATGTCCTTTGTAATTTTAAAAAGACAGTTTGAGTGCTCAGTTTATTAAGTACAGTGGAGCATGCTGAACTGTTAATAGGCCATGAGTATGTATTTCAGTGGGGCATCATGGTTAGATGGTGGTCAGCAGAGAGCGTGTGTTATCTCTGCCTCATGCTGGAAGGATACTCACAAGAGCGAGCTCTCCTGAAATGCTTTGGTATCTTCCATTTCTAATTTGTACATGTCCTGCGTGAAGCAGCAACTTTGTGATCAAACTGGAGCAAGCTTGGGAAGGCCGTAATTTGATGGGATGGGAAGAATGAGAGAAAAGTATAGTTGGGCCAGTACTTAACGATATTGTGAGGGAGAATTGAAGGTAGCAGTTACAATTGTAGTTCTTTCTAATAGTTTGCCATTAGTTTTCTATTAGCTTATAAACACAAGGTTACTTTGGTTTTAAATGTAAAAAATATCAACAGTGGTAATCATCATTGCAATTGGCAAATGCATGTATAAAACCCCATTCTTTAAACGTCTGACCTTTCTTTTAGTTAGTTTACTACAGGTAAGAGTTGGGCAGCAAAGGACTGTCCAGGAGTGAAGAACAGTTTTCTGTTGGTTTTCTTTCATGACACTGCTTCCTTTCTCAACCTGAGATACCACTGATCTATTTTCATCCCTACGTGGAAATCTATAGTGGCTTCAGGATTATGCTCCCAATATACATACAGCTGCAAATCTGCCTGCAACTTTCATGGCCTACAGCTGATGAGATGTATTATTTATTATGGGGAATTAACACTTTAATCTCTTTGTGTTTTGGTGTTAAAAATAGGCATGATTTCTTTTAATTATTGCTCAGTAAAGTACCCTAACGAAATTCTAGGCAGAATAATTCAAGCTCTTCTCTTACTTTAAATCCTAGAGGTAAGATTACTAGTAAACCCTTAATTTCCATAGGCCTTCAGTGCCCACCACTGAGTCTGCATTGGAAAGCCAACTGCTAGTTTGGGGGGATTGGGTAGGAAAGATTTCTCCTAAGGAGCCACTGGTGGGGCTGGGATTCCAACTTGTGTCGAAAGCAATTCCTGTGTTTCTGTAGTGCCTAGCACAAAGGGATCTGAGGCTAATCTGGAGCTTCTGTCAGGTATCACAGCCACCTTTCTAAGAACAGGAAGAATTGAGTCTCAACCTCTAATAAGGAGTAATGTGTGTTATCAATGGCTACAACTAAACAGCAATATAGTTTTCTTTTGTTTGGGTCTTTTAAGATCTTTTTGCTGCTATTATGAGTAGATATTTATAGTTGCTAATTGCTTTTAGGAAAACTTTGTGTTTTTCATTTCTTCATCTTTTGAGACAAAATTAATAATTATTTTCCTAAATTACAGGTTCATGGCTTCCCAGACTTTAGGTCAGAGAGGTTGGTTTGAATTAGCAAGGAACCTGCCATGGCAAAATGTGGGCTGTGTTAGACATAAAGATGCTGTTCAAGCCAGATTTATGATTGTCTTTAACAGACTTTCCTTAAAGTTTACTGTATTGCCTTTCTTTGTGGATAAATGTGTTAGTTTCTATTTGGGCTAGGTTGGTAGGTGTTTGGAGAGAATCTTTATGGTGCGATACTTTCAATAGTTGAACTTTTCTTTGCTTGTAGTCCTTTAGTTTTAATTTGCCTATGGAGGGGTCAGTCTTTCTCCTTGTTAAAAAAACATGGAAGATCTTGGCATAAGGGACAGTCCACTCAAATGGAATGCCTTCATTTTTACCTCGGTTATTGATTTAAAATGGTCAGAAAATCCCTCCCCTTCCCCTGCTATTACTCATGACTGTTCCTTGTATGTGGAAGATCAGTAATTTGAATACAGTCCATAACTATGAAATTAGTTTCTGAATCAGCAGTAAATGCTTATCATGGATGTTTCTTCTGGAAGGCAGCCGACTAGGTGAGTGGCTGCTTGTGTCCATTTGAAGGCCCACTAATGTCAGCATGTTTTTCTATGGGTTTAAGAGACCACATGCACAAAGCAGTCTGCAAGAGAAGAAACTCATCTGTTAATGGCTAGGGACACACATTTTGAAAGTGACTTTCTTTTTAAAAAATACTGTTAAAACTGGAAAACTGTGGTGGAGTTCTGCTGCTGCTTCTAAGCTTGTTTGGTTATTTGGGGGCTTGGGTTTGCTTGGCTCTTTTAAGTGCCCTGTTCTGGTTTCTATTTTGTCCAGTGGAAAATGGGTGTCAAACTTACCACTGAGTCTGACAATAAAAGGATACAGGATACAGCTTTAAGGCTCTTATGTCAGTAAGGACCTGCTTATTCATTTTAAGAATTACTTGAATGTTTGAAACCACAGCCCTTCATTGACTTTTCTTTGTATTTATTTTTGGAGCTATTAGGTGGAATAATACTGCTCAATCAGATTCAAATAGGCCTGCACGGGAACTGAAGACTGTATTAGGAATAAAATTTTGGAAGACCATTGGAGACAGATAAAAATTAGAGCATCCTGAAATCTAGGTAACTGGAGTTAAACCAAGTGGGATGCTAATGAAAAGCAGGAGTTAAGAAATTAAGAAGTGCTGACTCCTTTTCTCTTTTCAAATTCCAAGTTCTTTATTATATCGTTATTTTTTGTTTGTTTGTTTGTTTTTTAATGAATTGTCTAGAAAGGAGTTCGGACTTTGCATTGTTTTTAAATTGAGGTAAAATTTGTCAAAACCTTTTAGGCTACAACATTATGAAATGTATGGGTACATACACAAATATGTTTAGCTGCATACACAAATGCACATGTATATGTACAAACGAGTATATAAAAGAAGTATTAAAAACAGGTAAAACAGTACTTAAAATGAAAGTGATTGTGTGGCTCCAAATATCTGTATTTCAAGCCTTTTACCTCTAAGTAGTTGTTTTGGTCTGGCACATGGCAGCACAAATCAGTCATTACCATGAGATGGCTATTCATAGACTTTTGTGAAATGGCTTGATCATCTCAGTTTATCTGCAGCTTGACAGGTGTTCCGGTCACGAAAATCTCCATTACCTCCTGTCCTTCCCATGGGAATGACTTGAGGAACAAACCATTGAGAGTGGCTTTGAGTGGTTCATGGGCTTGGAGCTGAGGGCAATACAGAGAACTGAAGGTGCCCAAGATGTTTAGTTGTTTGGTGGTGTTTGTTTTGTTTGTTTGTTTTTGTTTGTTTGTTGTTTGTTTTGTGGGGGGGTTTTGTTTGTTTGTTTGTTTGTTTGTTTGGGGGCTGTTGTCTTTTTTCTAGAAATGTTCTGTTTCAGAAGCTTTAAATTTACTTAAAAAATGAAATGGTGAAATGTCTGGGAATTCTTTGGGATCTCTAGATAATTTATCAAGTAAAGAATAAAGCATTTCATTTCTTAATCATTAAATTCTTTGACATGTTTTCTTTGTTTTCTTTTTCTTCTTTTACAGGAAATATTTTAAAATAAAGTAAAGAAGCAGTATTTTAAGAATTCTTATCTTGTCACAATATCTTGTAATTAAGACCTTTAGAAGCAATATGCTAATTACCTTATTCCCACATGAGGTAAAATTAAAGCCCAGGATTAAGAAAACCACCACCACCACCAAAAAAAACAACAAAAAAAATCATGATTTTTGCTTAGTCTGTGTTTACAGTGACATTAAATCCAAAATTATTTTCATGATTTACTGAAGGAAGAGTGATCTGAAATGTAAATAGCATC